CCCCAAAACCCCAAAACCCCGCAAGTATAGGGACATAGGAAGATAGAACTAAAGGCAATGTTATTAAATATCAAATTAAGGAATAGTACTAAATAAATATGTATAATATTCAAAGCAATCATTATTCATCGATTAATTTATGTTCATTAAAATGAGAAGTAGTCCTCCATAAGAACTTTTGAGGAGGTGATCTTCGTGAATTCATTGTCCCTGGCAATCAGGTACTGACTAGCCTCGAGAATCTAGCCTTCTGTGAGCACGAAATTCTCGATCTTGGGAGACTTGATCTTTTGAAAAGGGGTGATAAGCTGTGGAGCTAATTCGCAATTGAATTCATTAGGAGATGAGGTATTGATTTGTAAAGTTTTGAAGTTATTTTGTTGTTTTCTCTCTACTTGCTAGATTTCACTGAATTTCGGAGAGGGAGTTAGGGTAGTCATGCTCATCTCTAATCTTCTCAAGAGCCAGGAGTCCTTGGAGTTTAGGATCATCTTGTACTTGCCATTATTGTTCTAGTTGAGTGAACTTTTTCTTTGATAGATGTCAGCTGAACTATTTCTCAGAGTGTTTGAGCCTTTTCTGTTGACAAAGAAGCTATTAGGAATCTCTCGAGGAGCATATCTTTCAGTGAAGTACTCACTATTAGAGATATCTATGATGTTGGAGCGTTCATCCTCGTCGTATTGCAAGCAGCCAGTGATTATCCTGAGACACTCTACTGATGGCTTGTGCACAACTTCGAGAGCATACTCACCTTAGTTCAAATTCTTTCCCAGTTACTCAAGGTTTCTCCCATTAAATGGGTGACTCCCTGTTAGGAGCTCGAAAAAGATAACTCCGAGTGACCAGATGTCAGCTTTGTAGGTATATTTGATGTCCTCCACCAACTAAGGGGCCATATACAGTGGAGTACCGCACATCGTGTCTGATCGCTAGGATTTAGTGTCCAGGAACTTTGAGAATCCAAAGTCTGCTATTTTAACTTGGAAGTTTACTGACTAAAGATCCACCATTTTGAGAAAATTCAACTTATCTTTTTAGTCCATAGTTAAAAAGTCATCTTGAGTGATATATCTGTCTCCACTGATTTTGAGTTGGTCTGGAATGTTGAAGTGAAGAAGTATGTTTGCGAGCTTAATATCTCTGTGGACTAGGTCGTAGTCAAACAGGTCTCTTAGTCCTTTCACTAACTATTTGAGGATCAGTCGGCAATCCTCCTCGGATAGACTGCCCTTAGCGTTCTTTAACATTAGCAAGTCTCCTCCGTTGCACAGCTCAGTAAAGATGTAGTATCTTGAGTGAGTTTTGTACGAGTTGTTCATGAATATGACATTGTTGCTTTTCACTTCAGATAAGACCTCTACCTCGTT